ATCGCACCAATATTTGGTATAAAGTGAGTATTCTAATTGGGGATGCATGCGCCTGTGCCTATCGTCGGTAGCTGGCAATGGAATTTTTTATTTTTTTATTTTTTGGTCATAAGCTGGCAATGGAATTTATTTTACAATTCCATATATAGTTAATAGTTGGCATCTGGCACCGTGGAAGCATCTGTTTTTCTACTTTATCCTCCTCCTCCCTTCCCTTCACGAATTATGTCTTTTTAATACCCAAAAATATGCTCTACCCCCCACCATGCCAGTGCCACCACCTATAATACCTTACAAGCCTGCAAATAATATAATATCTGAGTAGAGTTTTGTGTTAAAATGATAGCTAAACCACTGCTGTTATAAATTATTTACACCAAACATGAAACACACCCATTTTTCCCATTTATAGATGTAGATTTGGAGTGCATCAAGTAATTAGGCAAAGGCTTGGAGACGAACGAAGGCTTGGAGACGAACGAAGGCTTGGAGACATAATGCGCAGGCATGACATGACGAAGGGGAAGGGTCAGGCTGTTGACAAATGCGCAGGCATGACATGACTTGGATTGTTCTGGTCTGGTATTAGCAAAACTGTGGTTGTCTTGTATTGTATATCATCCCGCTAATGACTCTATTAATTGTGGGTGTCGTTGATTAATTAGTTGTGGATATGTTCCTTTAATTTGGATTGGTCGACCAAATGGACACGGTCGTTAACTTGTTGGTTTCAACTTTCATTAGAGAGACTTCTTAATTTCCAATGCATGCATTTTATAAAATCTAATCTAATTGCTCATTGCTGTTTTCAGTCATGTGCATGTCATCTATATCAACTATCACTTAAAAGGAATATAAGTGCACAATAAAATATTTCTAATTTCTAATTCTCAAAAGTCAAAACATTCCAATTTGCAATTTATATAGACTAGGGTAGTTCGGTTTCGTTAGCATATATAATATTATTATACAACTAAATGCACACATAACAAACAACTCCCTTCTTCATCACGTAAGTAATTATACTCGAAGGAAGTTGAGGTTCCATTCCAAAAGCAATTGGTAATGGGGGGAGTAGCCCAACTCCTTATAAGCCCTTGTAAGGTTTTCAAACTTTCCTTCACATTCTCACAATACTATCGTAGGTATTCTATAATTTCTCAATGTTTGGTTGATAGGTACTATTGGAGTGGGAACATGAATTGTACTCCATTTCCTAACCATTTTATAATGGAGTTGCTATTTTTCGAATGTGAGATCTTGAGTCCTAATATATTCCCATTACATAGTGTTAGGAATAACAACATTGAAATCGAGATAAGGAAATAGTTTTGAACATTTCAATATCAAACTATGTTTTGAACATTTTACCTATAACATAATGATGATGTAGGAAAACAACGAATGCATGTTAAAAAAGTACTGGAAAGTTTTCTCTCCTTTTATTTTTCCTTATTTAGAAAAAGTTGGAACAATTTTGAAACCATATTCAGTGGACTACCAACCAAAATTGATAAATAAAAACTCATATTCTTCAATACGTATTTTTCCCATAAAAATAGAAGAATACTGCTTTAGATTCTCCATCCTCTAATCACAAACTTGACTGGTTCAAATGTATCCATAACCACTTTAGATTCTTATACAGTTATTATAGTTATCCATATTTAAAAAGGAAAAAAAAAAAAACAGAAACAGTGTCTATACATTGTTATGGTTGCTCATGACTTGTGATCGTGAGTTAACTGTATTTTCTCCATTTACTAGAAAAAATGATATCGGATTAAACCCTGTCCTGTATGATGATTTAAGGGAAAGGAACATAAGCTGTTACTCTACTCTGTGTCTGTACAGTGTACTTTGACCGTTGAAAATTAGCCAAAGAGGCAAACAGAAACAACCCTCCTAAATTTTCTTACAGATATATACTTGGGTTTTTACTTGCTGAGTTGTTAACTTGCTAGGGAAAGAAAACAACTACAGAAATTTTTTTAAAAAAAGGAAAAAACAAAAACATGTGAAGAAGTAGTTGGTAGGTATTTGTGGAGTCCAAAAAATAACAGAGAGGATAATCTTGGTTTTAATTTTGGGGTTGTCGTTTTAATAATCTTGTTGGCATGTTTTGTTTTTGTATTGTAGGAGGTTGGACTTGGGTTTGGTAAGTTTTTGTATTATAGAATATAGACTGTCGTCATTGGAAGCTAAAATTAATAATTTAATTAAGGGCTGCCGACGCTGTCAATTTCGGCAATTGAGGCCTAAGTAGTTGGGTTATATGAAACGCGGTCGCTTTCTATCAACACGTGTCCTAGCCTATCTGAGGTGGGAGAGAGAGAGAGAGTCAGTGGTCCCTACCTGATAAAAAGCCTAAAGCTTGTCTACGACAATGGAAGGCTGAAACGTGTGGTGCGAGGGGACCACGTGTCTTTTTCCGCCTCGTTTTCATTGGATGCTGCTGCTCCACTATGAACTGTAGAGACGCTCTCTGCCTCTTTATGGGCCTTATCCCTACGCGCTTCGGTGTGCTTGTGGGGCCACTCGCTCAATTTTGGGGTCCATATTAAGTAAGCAGTGAGTAGAGTACTACTATGGCCGGTTGAGTATGGATAAATTTCACTTGCAAATTGTAATTAAATTAACAAGTCATTAAACGGTGTGATTTGGCTACAAAATTATTCATTGGTATAAAATACGTAGGTGGTAGAGTACGAGTATGCCTTTTTATTTTAGAGAGAGAATATAAAAAAAAAGATTTTCAGTTTATTATTGAGATTTCTGCAAATAAATTGCAAAAGATTCTATTCATTAATATGAAAGGAATACAAACAAATTTTGTTTTTAGTTTCCGCTAAAATAGTTAGTGTTCGTAGTTTGAATTGAACCTACGTAGATTGATGATTGACTCATATAAACTAAAACAGGTTTGACTTTTTAGGAAGCTGGGCGCTGGTGGGTTTTGAGGTACGAACGAACGAACGAACTATATATTTAAAAATACCATCTCATCAACACAGTAGTCGCCGTTGTGTAACAGTGCCAATGTGCCAATGTGCCAATGGCATGGACACCCTTTTTTCGTTATAGACCGACTGTGCCACTGCCACTCCCCCGCTCTTTAAAATCCCCGCGCTAAATCATTAAAGTAAAAATTAAATAATTTATTTGTCATTTTTCAGGTGGTGTATTAGGTTTGGGTGGGTGAATGCGTCATTTTCGTTTTGATTAGGGGTAAATGCGTCATTGGATTCTGTGATGGTTGCTTAATTAACTTCATTCTTCGTGTTTCTGCATCTGTCCAAAATTACAATTGACCTTTGTTAAACTGCTATAACACTCTATCGATGTTCTGATCGTTGATATCCCTCGCAAGTTCACAGCCAAATCAATACAAAATATGGCTGTGGTTCACATTTTTTGGTCTGAGATCATGCTTTTATTATTTATTAAATTCTTACCACTAATTAGAAATTAATCCATAATCAATGCTTATCATCCATGAAAAGCTGTTCTTCATTGTCGGCATAAAATAAAAGCCTTTCATTTTTGTTTTTTCGGTATCGGGTTTTGTCCAATAAATAAATAAATAAAATTCCTCCGTCATTTAGGGTTAAAAATACAAGAAAAAAAAAGAGAAGAATCGCATTTCCTTTTTTTGTGATGATTGTGCTATGCGAGATATTGAAGTCAGCCTGTGTGTGTATTTGCGTGGTGAGGAAAGAAACGCGCCACAGGCACATCACTCGTCTCACTCAGTCTAAACATTTGTAGTAAAAAAAGAGACCCGACGCCTGTGGAAAACGACATGAGCGCCTTACACTCTGCAATCTAACGTCAAAATTCATCTGCCCAAAATATAACACACTCCAAAACTTACTTTTGTTTTTTGTCTTCTTTTGTTGCTTTGGCTCAAAGTATTGTATTAATAATGTCGTATGACTTTTTTCTACGAGGTCCATTGTTTAATGATTGATTGGGCTATGAATCACAAAAATCATCCATAAACAGAAAATTAACAGCATCCTTTTGTGTTTAATAATGAAATGATCCAACAAATTATAAAATACCACGATAATATGATCATATATCATAATTTGTGTACAAAATGTACCATATAATCGTACTACCATAGTATTCTATAATCAGTGTTGGCCTTAAGTTTTTATATTTGAATTTTTACATTAAAAGAGTTTGGAACAATTTGAGGAGCACATTAGGTAGTCAAAGATTAAGCAAATCTTATAAATGAATTTTAACTTTAATGCAGGGAGATTTTGTTCCTTTGATTAGGGGCTAAAAACCTATCAAACAGATTAAGAGGCAAAAGTCAAAATAAAGATCCACACCAAAATTATTTGTTGAGCTGGCCTTTTTTCATGCTAAATTACGGGGATAGAAAATAATATCCTAAATTAAATTATACTCTAATTAAAAGAGAAAAAACCCAAAAACAAATAATAAGGTGGGTCCAACTGACGACCATGATGTTCCAATCTTATATTAAAAAATAAAAAAACACTAACCATGCTGTGACGGTCCACGTAGTGCCTAGTAGCCGCACCACATTCAACACAAGACATTATAGTGATGAGCTGGACTCACTGACGATTCTAGGGACGGTGGTCCAAACCCAAACCCCGTTAAAGTTAACACAATGTAAACATAACATACGCCAAATAGCCTTTTATACAAAAAACTAAAAAATAAACAAAACAAAACAGAAAAGAAGAAAAAATGAAAATACGCCAACAGCCTAACAGAAGTTTCTAAATATCGCGTTACAGCTCACCTCTTGCTTCCCGCACAAGCGTAGAGGAGGTGGGACTCCCCCGCCATTCTCTTTGCTCTCAGGGCTAGATTCGTCATATCATCAACCTACTTGGCTGCCAAAAGAAATAAATATTGCCAGATTCTTAATTAAGTGAAGAACAAGGAAAAGAAAAAGAACCATTCCCCGATGCTTTAATTAATTTGTTTTTGTTGTTTTCTTCTCCTCTCATTTCTTTTTCTTTTTCAAAAATTTATTAGTAAATTGAATGTGATGGTTTTTGGAGCTTTTTTCTAACGTCTTGCCTTTTAAGTGACACCTAAGTCCGAATATTTCACTCTACTCGCACGGTCACACCCACCACCACCACACCACCACACCACCATTTTCTTCTTCTTCTTCTTCTTCTCCTTCCTCTCTCTCTCTGCTCTTCTGTTCCGAAACCTCCACCTCCACCTCCGTCGCACTCTTTCTCTTTCTCTCTCCAAAATCGAGACTTACCGAATAAGTAAATCCGAATTTCGGATCTCCATTTCGGAATATCGGAAAACTCTGTGGTCTCTATCTCGGAGTCTCATACTCTCTCGGTATCGGAGTGTTTCCGAAGCTGCATTTGTTCCGGTAAGCCGATTCCTGAGCCATTTCGTCACCATCGACTTCTTTCTTTATCTGTTCATCATTGGCATCTACCAGAAGGTTCTCAGAAAAGAGAGAAAAATACATTTATATATAAAATTAAGAAATAACAAATACGGTTTTGTGTTTCTGATTCCTCCTTTTTATGTTTTCTGAAAACATGCTCTGGTTTTATGCGAGTTTTTACTCTATCAAATTGGACATGTAGTATTTTTTTCTTCTTCTATTTTTGTCGGTGAGGCTTCTATGCTGGTTTCGACCAATTTCCTGTTCATCTTTTTGTGTTGAATAATTTTTTTCGAGCTCGGTTTCTCAAATATGGCCATTTATTTCCGTTTTGAATTAGATTTTGAGCTTTTTCAGTGTCAGTCTTTTACTGTTGCTCAGCATATCAATTTTGGGTTAAATTACAAATATCACTTGTCTTTCAAATTAACAGTCTACAGTTGCACATATATTGTCTTTGTTCAAACTGGATCGAATATATCAGTTTCTTCATCATTATAATTTTTTATTATTTAATTTCTATACCTTCAATTTTTAAGGTACGGTTGTTCTTCAAATCTGTAGGATCTCCAGCTCAAAATAGCTCCGTGTCGAGATCTCGGCATATTCTCTTCTGCATTAGTTGGTATGTCCTTTTTTATGATATGTATCTGCATTTCTGTCCTCCCAATGCTCTTGCAGGTTGCTAAAAGTGTAGGGAGAGAAATGAGACTTCAGATTCTCTTACCATTGTTTGATTTAGTTGACATTAATTTTTTGTTTTACAAACAGATCATCATGAATATCATTCATTAAAAGATTATAAGAGTAGAAATGTAGATTCGTATTATCAAATATTTCAGCTCATTATATCGTTACAAGTGATGAAGTTCCCTTGTTTTTCCTAATCTGTCATTTTTGTTAATCACTTCTTTTGTTTTTCCTTTTTCTCTCAACTAACAATTGTCAGTTTGAATCATAATTTTTGCAGACCTCACAGTCTAATATGGACCGACGCAGTTGGCCGTGGAAGAAAAAATCTTCTGACAAGGCTGCAGCTGAGAAGGCCGCAGCTGCAGCAGACTCTTTTGCAACCGAGGCAGAGCAAGTAAGTTCTGTCATGATATCTTTTTCTGCTTCCCTTTCTATTGATCAGGAATACCGTTGCCTTTCGAACATTTTGCATATTCGCAACATTGACCCTGAAAGTGGGCACTTCTCATGGGTTTTTGTTACGCAGCAACTTCTGCCTTAGTTTGATGGAATTATTTAGGTCTGTTGTATACTAGTTAATTAGGGCAATATTTATTCATTAAATGTTGTGGGAGACAACCCACATTTGTCACTTGCTATAGCCCTGTCTAATGCATGTATGTATGTATACACAGCCTGGGACACAAACATGCTGCTGTTGAGTTTGTTATTTCTTTTATTTCAATAAATACTGTGCTCACCAGCTTATCTTCTTTGTTTCTTTCGAATTTTGGTGCAACATGTTAATTATTCTCTTTTCTGGTTTGCTTATTACAATCAGGATAAATACAAGAAACCAAACTATGTTCAAATTTCTGTCGAGCAATATTCACATCTGACCGGTTTGGAAGATCAAGTGAAGACTTATGAGGATCAAGTGAAGACATATGAGGACCAAGTTCAGACATTGGAGGATGAAATTACAGATTTGAATGAAAAGCTCTCCGCAGCCAATACAGAGATGACTAACAAGGAGAGCCTGGTTAAACAGCATACTAAAGTTGCCGAAGAAGCTGTCTCAGGTATGATATTGATATAACCCGACTACAGAAAAAATGAGTTCTTGATCAAATTCTGGTAAAGGATTTTTGACTTTAGAGAATTTGGTATATTTAAGCACCTACTTCCTGCAGGTTGGGAAAAGGCTGAAGCAGAAGCTCTCGCGTTAAAAACTCATCTAGAATCTGTGACTCTTTTAAAGCTCACTGCTGAAGATCGGGCCTCACATTTGGATGGTGCTCTTAAAGAGTGCATGCGGCAGATACGAAATCTGAAGGAAGATCATGAACACAAATTACAAGAAGTTGTTTTCAGCAAAACCAAACAATGCGAAAAAATCAAGCTTGAGCTTGAAGCAAAGATATCTAATTTGGACCAAGAACTCCTAAGGTCGGCTGCTGAAAACGCTGCTATTTCCAGGTCTTTACAAGAGCGTTCAAATATGCTATTCAAGATAAACGAAGAGAAGTCACAAGCTGAGGCTGAAATTGAGCTTTTTAAGAGCAACATTGACTCTTGTGAAAGGGAAATAAATTCTCTGAAATATGAACTCCATTTAGCTTCCAAGGAGCTAGAGATTCGTAATGAGGAAAAGGACATGAGTATGAGGTCTGCAGAAGCAGCCAACAAGCAGCATATGGAGGGTGTTAAAAAAATAGCTAAGCTAGAAGCAGAGTGCCAAAGATTACGTGGTCTTGTGCGGAAGAAGTTACCTGGTCCCGCTGCACTTGCCCAAATGAAGTTAGAGGTTGAGAGTTTAGGCCGAGATTATGGAGAAACTCGTCTAAGGAGGTCTCCTGTTAAGCCTTCTAGTCCACACATGTCCCCAGTGACTGAGTTTTCTCTTGACAACGTACAGAAATTTCACAAGGAGAATGAATTTCTCACAGAACGTTTATTAGCAATGGAAGAAGAGACAAAGATGCTGAAAGAAGCTTTGGCAAAGCGCAACAGCGAATTGCAGACTTCAAGGAGTATGTGTGCTCAGACAGTCAGCAAGCTTCAAACATTAGAAGCACAACTTCAAATCAACAATCAACACAAAGGTTCCCCAAAATCCGTTGTACAAATCACCACTGAAGGTTCCTCAAGTCAGAATGCAAGTAATCCGCCAAGCTTGACCTCCTTGTCTGAAGATGGAAATGATGATGACAGAAGCTGTGCTGAGTCTTGGGCTACAACATTGGGGTCTGATCTCTCTCACATCAGGAAGGAGAAGAGCAATCAAAAGTCAAACAAAGCTGAAAATCAAAACCATTTGAATCTTATGGATGACTTTCTGGAGATGGAGAAGTTGGCTTGTTTGCCAAATGACTTGAATGGAGCCGTCTCCATTTCAGATGGTCCAAACAATAAGACATCAGAAAGAGAGAATCATGATGCTTCAGGAGATGTCACAGCCGAAAAAGATATCCAATCAGAGCAGCAGCATGATTTAAGTCCTTTGGAAGGTGATCAGGCATCTTCTAATGTGAAACTGTCTGGATTAAGTCCTGAATCTGATGAAAACCAGCTGCCCCTGGTGAAGCTCCGATCAAAAATCTCTATGCTATTGGAGCTCTTATCTAAGGACACTAATTTTGGTAAAGTTATTGAGGATATCAAACATGTCGTCCAGGAAGCACAAGATACTCTGCACCCGCACACTGTAAACTGCATTTCTGAGGAAGTTCACAGCTCAGATGCCATATGTGACAGGCAGGCAAATCCTGAGGATTCTGGATTAACTACAGAAAAGGAAATCACTTTGTCCCAGCCAGCCAGGGGGACCATGGAACTAATGAGCGAAGATCTGGCATCTGGCATTTCTTTGATTCATGACTTTGTGCTATTCTTGGGCAAAGAAGTGATGGGAGTGCATGACACGTTTCCTGATGGCAATGAATTAAGCCATAAGATTGAAGAATTCTCTGGCGCATTTAATAAAGCTATTCATGGAAACTTGAGTTTGGCTGATTTTGTTCTTGGCCTCGCTCATGTTTTAGCAAACGTCAGTGAGCTGAAATTTAATGTTCTAGGCTACAAGGGTGTTGAAACAGAAACTAATAGTCCTGATTGTATTGACAAGGTAGCATTACCGGAGAATAAGGTAGTTGAGAAGGATTCGTCAGAAAGATATCAAAATGTTTGTGTCCACATTTCTAATCATTCTAACCCTGAAGTTCCTGATGATGGAAATCTAGTCTCTGGGTATGAATCAAATGTGGCACCGTGCAAAATCTCACTGGAGGAGTTCGAACAAATGAAATCAGAGAAAGATAACCTTGCAATGGATTTGGAAAGATGTAATGAAACTCTGGAGATGACAAAGTCTCAGTTGCAGGAAACTGAACAGCTTCTTGCAGAAGCTAAATCACAATTTGCTTCTGCTCAAAATTCAAATAGCTTAGCCGAAACACAGCTAAGATGTATGGCAGAATCATACAGGTCACTAGAGGCACGGGCTGAGGAATTAGAAGCTGAACTGAAGCTTCTGCAAGTCAGAACTGAAACTCTGGAAAGTGAGCTTCAAGAAGAAAAAAGAAATCATCACGATGCTTTGGCCAGAGGCACGGAACTTCAAGAGCAGTTGAAAAGGTTAGTTGCAATCTTTGTTCCATAAGGTGGCATCTGCCATATGTACTCTCAGAACCGAAGCACCAGTCTACTTAGTTGCATTATATCCGCATTTTAAAAGTAGCTATTTATATGTTCCAGAAACTAGTGTTTTTAGTCCTTGGACTTGCATGACACTGTTGGTTGAAATTGAGTGAAAAAATTAAACTATTTACTTGGTCTTGGGTTTTGTGATTGTCTCTAACTTCTGCATCACTGTTGGTTGAAATTGAGTGAAAAAATTAAACTATTTACTTGGTCTTGGGTTTTGTGATTGTCTCTAACTTCTGCATCTCTTAATCTTCTTTAGGAATGAGCTCTTGGCAGCTGAGACTGAATTCAAGACCAAACAGGTGAGGCTACGTTCACTTTGTGCTTCTAAAATTGGAGTTGGAGAGACTGGCTTTTAACAACTTGAAATGTCGTAGGAAAAAAAATCACCAGATATTTTCAATCATATCAAAAGAAGTATTGATCAGTCACTCAAGAATTTGTACTTAGGAGCTCTTATCCCGAATATATTTTTATTCAAAGCTCAGTTCAACAGAATTCTAGAATTAATTGGGGTTAGCTAGTTGTTTTATTTTCTGTCAGTTAGCCCTTGTGCATGCTTTTGTATTTTCAAGATGCTAATAGTTTGAACTTGATATTTTGTCGTTACAGGACAGGGAGTTGGCTGATGCAGCAGAGAAGCTTGCCGAGTGTCAAGAAACCATATTTCTTCTAGGCAAGCAGTTGAAATCTTTGCATCCACAAACAGAGCACATGGGATCTCCGTACAGTGAGAGGAGTCAAAAGGGTGAAGGGTTCACTGAGGACGAACCCGCTACCACGGTGCGAGACTCAGATCAAGCCGAGATGGAAGGCGCTGCTTTTGCCAATGTAAACAGAGGGGGCAGCGAATCACCGGTGAATCTGTATAACACCCCATGTAGCCCCTCCGATACAGAAGCGAACACTCTCTTGAAATCACCAGTCAATTCCAAATATCCAAAACACAGGCCTACCAAGTCAACTTCCTCATCTGCCTCTTCTACCCCAACACCAGAGAAATATCAACGCGGCTTCAGCAGATTCTTTTCCTCCAAAGGAAAGAATGGTTATTAGACTTGCAGCTCGAGAACCTGAATAATATATTTCGGTGGTTGGAAAGACCGTTAAAAAAGTAATAATTAGAAGCAGCACCAAAGATGGAGACCTCCTTCATTCGTGTCGTGTGATAGAAAAATCATTTGTTGGGAATTCCTAGGTGTTTGAAGCTTTAATCTGAGGGGAATACTTGTGAAGGTCAGGTAATTTTGTAACTAATGGCTCTGTATATGATATCCATATCTGTTAATTTGTTTCTCTCTCTCTTGCACGCCTTCTGTATTTTGGTTAATTCAACCATGACATAGTTTATGGACTGCTTCAAAGTATTTGAATATAATGTATGTCACAGTTTTCGTACGAATTCGCTCTTCTCGGCAGAAGATCTCTCTACTGCTTATTCGGAATTTTGCTTCGGCCATGGGCTTTTAATTTATGTGCTCAAACCCAAAAGGCATTTGGTCTTTGTATCCAGGTCTACTGGATTGAAACGTCTAATGGATATGGGTTATCACCCATCGGGGTTTATGGGTTTGGAAAGAATAGTGACATGGGCTAAGTAGTTGGTCGAATAGATATAGGGTAGGTATGGTGGGGTCATCCCCGACTTGTGTGAATTGTTTTTGGTGTCACCGGTTGTATACACCCACAAGTTTATTGCTCTCTCATTATATATGACTAAGACATGTTCGATTTCCGGGAATTTGAGTACAATCCATAATACATGAGTACACTTTTGTTTCTTTTATAAGCCCAAAATCTTCATCTGTCACATAAGGTGTTATGAGAATGTGGTATACAAATATGATAAGAGTAGTATTATTAAAAAAATAAAAAGTGAGAATGTGGTATACAAATATGATAAGAGTAGTATTATTAAAAAAATAAAAAGAGTCTAGGAATCATCATGAGGTTTTTGGTGTCGTAAATATTGGGGAAATGTTCCGCTTCAATTAAGGCTAAAGTTTTGATGTTCCGCGTTCGTCAGGCTGTATCACAAGAATCGTTCCTGTTGCACGACATCCTTTTTACATGTATAAATTGAAGGGTTTGAGGGGCCTTTCTTTTTTGTGCACAAAATGTTGTGAAATAATGGTTAAATTGTTGTTGTAACTTTTAACAAAGCTATTAGTTGTATTAAGTAATTCCCTTGAAACAATTACTGTCGATTTCATTAAAGACTATCCACAGTTTCAGCAAAAAAAATGTTAAAAAGATTTTGTCAGTCAAGTGATTAATAATAATATCACTTGTTTGTACCTCTGCATCTTTCTTTGATATTTTTGTTGTCCCTTTAGTTCCGTGTAGGACTGTTTGAAAGTTGGGTTAAAATATCTGGGGGTTGGTTGAAGAAAGCCTGCTGCTCAATCGCTTCAAAAGTTGAAGATGAAGATATAGGAAAAGGAAGGAAATGTGGTATAGCCCACGATTTGCCAGAAGAGAAACACAGAAATGTGATATATATGAACCGAGTTGAAAATCCAACATGCCTACCCTACACCTTCCAACATAGATGGCTCTCCTTGTCCAACACCCAACTCTCTGACTCTTTCCGCTCCAAGAGGGAAAGAATCAAAGTAGATAGCAAAAGCATTATGGTCAAGCTCAGATTTCAAACAAACCCACTTCAAAATACATCATCATGATTCATACACATAATATAAACACAACAACAGCAAACTTGTACAGTCTAAACTAAAGATGAATAATATCATCCATGCAGCATTTAATATCAGTGCACGTACTTGTTGTTCATCTCTCCTCTGCTTTTTCATGTTGACATTTGTTTTTGGTGATGTCAATTCAAGATCTACAAGGCTTGACTTGATTGATGAGTTTGCTTGCACATCATTCCCTTTTCTTTTTTCTTTTTGAGTTGAAAAAACGCCAATGGAAAGGAAAGTGGTTTACCTCATTTTATTTACTACTTTTCCTTTCATCAGTAGATAGATAGATTCATGCGAAAGTTATTGCCTTTTTCAATCAAGACATAGGATTTTTTTTATATATAAATATTTTAGCAAGACGTTTCTTTCAATCCATTTGGATGGAAATTATAATATTCATGATTTGAAAAGAACCCAAGACAGAAAAAATTATCATAATTAAAGGAAAGGTGGGTCTCTTCCAAACAAAAAGCCCTTCCTTAATTATTCAATTATGCCATGCTTGTTGTTGCCTGCTGGATGCTGATATAATGGTGGTGACTTGAGAACTACTTGATTTGATACTTGCATTGCATTGCATCATTGAGTACTAGCTAGTGCCGCTGCTCTTCATCTATTCCCTTCTAAGTTGTATTATTAGTCTTCAGTTTTCCATGTTATTATAATCACTAGTTATTTCCCTCTTCTTCTTGTTGTAGACTGTAGTTGCAGAGCTTATTATATATGGATTAAGTGCTCTAAATATATAGACATATACATATACAGTTGGTTCTTAATGTTGGAATTTTTGTGAGTATTTCAAAATATAAAATTTATTTTATGTTTCCAGATTTTGTGTGATTTAATTACAAGTTTAAACTGAATTTATTTTGTAAATTTATTATATGAATTCACTGTTATGATCTGATTGTATATATTAATTTTGATTTCAAAAGCTTATTTGCATGAGTTTTAGTTGGAGCAATTTTAGTCTTCAATTAGGATATTTTTTTATTTGTTTTAAAGGTCTTTCTGCAACTTTATTCTAAAAGCTTTGGTGTGGCAATTTCATACAAACTTAATTGTTTTCAATGCCTTTGGCATTTAAAGATTTGAATTCAAAATTCATTTGCGTCAGTTTTGGTTGACCAATTTCTATTTTGCAATAGCTACATTGTTTTGCCATTAATTTACTGATATTATAGCTGTTAAGTTTGTGAAAACGGGCAGATAATTATGTGCTTTTATTACTATTTCTTTTAGTGCCTTAGCTTATTGTTGAGGCGACTAACTATATATTTAAGCCCATTCTCTTTAGTAGGGTATAAGAGGAAAATATTTGAGTTGTTCATCTGACCCAAGTGTAGCGAGTCTAAGCTTATGAGATTCATAGTAGGTTGTTGTATCCTAAAGGGTAGGGTGTCATACAACGTTGCTACACCGAGACATTGTCTTTGAGGGGCGAAATCTACTCTTACGGACAATGAATGACATGCCTCAACCTAAAACTATTATTCTACTCAAATATCAATGGAGACCGACTTCTACATCCCAAAAGATAAGTATCTTGCTGTAATTTCATTGGTTTTATTTAATCTACTATATCAATGTAAATTACAATTTTCTAATATATATTTATGTGAAGTTTTGCAAGAAAGTAGCATCCATAAACCAAATTTTCCAACACTTAAGGCAGATAATGACTTGTTTAAAAATTTAAAAAAAATTTGCAGATACTGACTGATTCATAAAAACCATTATCTGAGTGTTAATTTGACACTGTTGATTATATGTAAATATAAAGTGTTTCCTTCCTGATCGTCCTACTAATACCATAGGCTATAGGGGCTAAAGCACATGTGAAATTTGTATATTTTTCAACAGAGTGGTCCCCTGACCCTGCTTGCTTCTTAATTTTGGGGTCTCCACCCTCCATGATCGGATGATCCATCCATCTTGTTTTGGCTTTATTTCAATATTTGATTAATTAAACCCGCCATTCATGGTTAACTGTATCAAAATCAACCAACCCACTAAATGCATAATGAGGGTTAAGATTCATGGCTTCTCTTGCTAATTCCTTAATTAGTAGGGACTAGGGAGGGAGGGTGATACATGAACATGCACAAAATGGCGGATGCTGCTGCTGGAGGGGGTAGCTTTTCGAGTCAGTGGTGGCTTCTAAACTTATTAAAGTTAAATATTTAATTAATTTGTGTGTAATTGGAAATGGATACAGGCCACAGCAGCCTGGTTCACTGAATATAAATCTCTCTTTTTCTAATTCCATTGCTTTCCTAGTAAACGGCCTACTTCTCAAAAGACTCTCCTCCACTACCACTAGCCCAAGTAGCCATGTTCTGTTTCAAACTTCTGCTAAACAGTAGACTGACCTCCCAAAGTCAAAGATTTAAAGCACATCTTGGGGCCTCCTGCCTTACCATTAAGTATGACTTCTATTTTTTCGGGGTTTGGTTGCAATTTCTATAAGATGTTCGGTTCATTTTAGCCCAGACAAATTATGTTATAGAAAAAGAAAGAGAGAATCTTTTTCAAGGCATGGGCATTTCTTTGTATATTCTAATTTACGTTGTACAATTTTGTCATCGTTTTCGCCCTTGTATCATATATATCTGGATTGTTTTGTCATCGTCTTTCGTCGATGGATCAAATGTTTTCCCTATAATTTCCATGTGCAGGTGGGATATATGATCTTATCTTTTCCTTTTTCAATACTATATCCCATAATTCCTTTGATCCAACCAACAACCTAAGGAATTATAAGAGTATCCTTAGAAAAACTTTAATTTAATTTATAAAAAAAATAAAAAAGCATATCAAGGGAAGGGAAGTTTGTCATTATTTTTCAAGTTTTACAAGATTTTAGTTTTCAACTCAACAACCGGAAAAAGTGAGTTGGTTCAAAGGGCGCAAAAAGTCCAGACATCGATGCGAGGGAGCATCGCATGTACGGTATTTGACTAGAATGCAAATGCCAATGTGTTGAAATTACCATTCTACCCTACAATAACGCTGTGTCTGGAGGACTCGCTGCAGCAGCGGATGGATGAAGCTGATATAATATTTTAATACAAGATGATGACGATGAAACAGTAAAACCAAAGATTTATAATGGAGGAGAAGGTCAAGTGGGTCTGAAATCTGAACCATCCATTTGGTGGGACCGTGGGACAGCAATTAAAGGTTGCTATAATGCAACTTTTGAACCAAATTCAGCAGAATATTCCATGTTATTGTTACCTCCTCCCCACGCCCAAACGAAACTAAAGAAAATGAAGTGCAGAATCAGATTTTCATTGGTGAACAAGCATAAAGACATACATGATACATGGATGCAGATTCAGGGTACTAGTGGTGTTTTGAAATTTATCGACCGACTGACACAACACAACATTGTGCAATACTTGATGACCCTCAAATTTTAACAGAACATGCATGATCGTATCGATCTGCTCCATATTTTATGTTGCTTGCTTGCAAAATATTTCTCAACAGAACAATCCGTTACGAATCTCTGCTGCTGTTTAACAGTTTTAACTGCTAAAATGTTGAGTAAAGTTAACCAGAGAGATACAGGGCAGCACAATATATGGGTATGCACGCACATCAGACAAAACCCAGAAAAGAAAACAAGAGCAGCTGAAACAAGAAAAAGGGTGACAACCCCAATTATAATATTATTAATATTCCTTCTCCCACAGGGTACATTGATATTTGGTACACCACCACCGTGAGGAAAGTTTCAAACTTGATCAGATTTACAAATTCCAAACCCAGATTATATAATTTCAATGGGTTTTTCTTGAATTTCTTTTTGGGTCAGACAGAGAGAGTCGTTGTAATTCAAATTTGTAAGAGAACAATCCCAAAACAGAGGGAAAAAAAAATACAGGAGAAAATTAAAAACAGAGAAGCAGTAAAGCAGCTTCATCTGGAATCTTCAGCCATTTTCTCCCAAAGCAACTAACAAGCAAGGCTAGGCTAGGCTAGTCTAGTGGTGACTTGAAAATCTTGTCTTTTTCACCTGAGCATGGATGTTAATGACTGAAAAGCAACTTCTTCACAAGGAATTGTGAGACCCATGTCGTGGTCAAATCCAAATTCTTCTTCTGCTTGATGAAGCAAGCTTTGGAACTCAGGGCGAGTCAAGAAGGAGATTGGGATAATGTATCTGCTTCTGTTTTCTCCAACATAAACCACAAAATGGCCCTTGGGGACATCCAAAGGGAGGCCTTGTTCATCATAGTGTTGCTGTTTCTTCCCCAAGCTTGAGCACCTCTTGAGAATTTGCTTCAGCACGGCTGTTTGTGGAAGTCTGTTTGATTTTCTGATAGCCATTTGATCTGTTTTTCTTTTTGAGTAGCTTGTGTCTGTTTCCTCAAATCAAAATCAAAATCAAAATTACAATCAAATTGAGGATTTGGAGTTCTGAGTAAAAGGTACAGAAGGTAGAGGGGGTGCGTAGGGGTATTTATGGTGAGACACTGAGTGTTGAGTTGAGAGGGTAGAGAGTAGAGAGAGAAGCAGAGTCATGTGGGGTTGTAGGGATATAAGACAGGGGGAGGGTGTTTATAGGGGTTTGTGTGAGCTCAAAGACATGCAGGGAGCCAACCCCATTGGGTTTACATCCCCTTGTTGCCCTCCCAATGGACAACTTGGTCCCTCTTTCGTCTCTCTCATCACTCACTCACATTTCAATTTTCATGCAACTCTCTCCTCTCCAGTAATATTTTTGTCTTCATTAATGTCCTTTCACTTTGAGAAACATCTCTCTCCTCTCCAGTAATATTTTTGTCTTCATTAATGTCCTTTCACTTTGAGAAACATCCCACCAATTTCCTACTATTTCTCCTTTTCAACTTATTTACTTTATTTAGTCCTCTTCCATTCAAAACTTTGTCTCAGGATAAAAGGGAAATAGGGCAATTTCCTGGAAATTGATATTAAAAAGTTGTAAACTCTAATGCAATGTCCAGTCCAGTGTGTACTAGTCTAGCAGCCTATAGCTACAACTTTTTCCAATTTTCATGCTCTCTGTTTAGGATGCTATTTATTTCAAGTTTCAACTAAGGTTCATATTTGGGTTTGTCTCCTGTTTTTGTGTCGTTTGACACATTCTTCCTTCTTTTTCTTTTTTTTGGGTTTCAGCTTTGAAATCCCCCAGAGCCCATTGGTAACTTTTCCCGCATCCCTCCCTCTCTCGCTTTCTCAATAAGTCACAAGGACCTAAGCATTGTTGTTCTGATTCTGAGTTAATTATTCCAGGCTCTGGCCCCTGAACAATTCCGCTTGCTAATTGTCAGTAGTTATAAGTTATAACCTAATAAGGTTTTTAAGTAAAACTGGTAATTCCTAATCCTAGACCCGGTCATAAACCATTATTTCCATTGAAAATGAGTGAATTGAAAATTGCATGTGCATGCATGTACTGAAGCGTACGACCAGTTGCAGGGCTTGGTCATCTTAAATGCCGCTGGGTTCATCATTTTGTGTTCGTTTCTACTGTATATAAATCATTGGCAGATGGGAGGTGCAGTTATTCACATGCATATAGCTAGCTATTGATGCATTGGTCGCAGGATTCCAATGGGTTAATAATCCCGAGCCCCACCACCCCGGCCCGTGACAGCAACGTACATTAAACCAAAAATAACAATGAATCAATTGACCAGTTACAAGTATTATTATTCTTAAACCTTTCTGGTGGTATCAGTAAGCATTTCCTTAAGAGACTTTTCTGGTAGACACACACAAGAAGAACATGAAACACGATCCTTTTTCTTTTTCTTGTGCTAGATAGCTAGGCATTGAAGGTGCTTGTACTGCCTTAAGTAGAAAACAAGAAACAGAGACCTTCGCAAACACAGACAGAGAGGATATTAACATAGGCGACCTACCGGTTCCAGCCACACTAATGTTCAATTTGAACACCAGTGGAAAAACTCAACCATAAAACCATTAAAATTTGAGCCAATTACGCAAGCAAAAAACATGTATCCAAAATTCATGAAAAGGGCTTCTTAAAGCGAAAGTAAGTAAGAAAAAGCTAAGCTAACAGAATTAAAAGGGCTGGCTAGCTAGGAAAGGTGGTGTCTTTTTCTTGAGGATATTCTTCTTCTAGCTCCTTAATCTAATATAATGAATTAGCTTGAGGATTACATGACAAAGAATTGATGATAGACGTGTTGTGGTCCTTGTGCTAGTACTAGCATCAGTACATCCAATACCAAGACAGACAGGAGCCTAGTCATAATCACATATAAATTCAATAGCTCTGCCACTGGCTGGCTCTATGCATAATTAATTAATTGGTATGGGGTGGATTCATTCAAGAGAGATGCCATTGCTGATTGCTGATTGCTGATTGCACCCCCACCCCCATGTTCTGAGGCCCAGAAAAAAGCTTCTGTTTCTCAACTATAACAATGCCCTTTTCAATGCTGGTATACGGCTATGTCCTGCAATGTCCTCTCTTCACTAAAAGTTTCTCCCTTTCCCATTTACCAACCATCTTAATATCTTTTTATTATATTGTAAGCGGATAAAAAAAGACTGAAAAATCAGCTCCTTTTATTTATAGTACTTTTCGACGGCTATGATTGCATTGCATGCGCCCACTACATCACGTGTAAGGCTGCAAGCCACAATACTTGTCTGGCCTTTACACCTTCCCGTTTACAGAATTAACAGACTCATCATCATGAGTGGTTAACCCAAGACTTGACAGTTGATTGATTGCATTTGGAGCTATATCGATTGTTAATGTCTATAAATTATAATTTGCCCCCAAAAACAAAACCAAGGAAAATATTATTAATCACATTCACACTGATATTTTCAAAACTGCGTATAAATAAAGTACGTGAGAAAATTGACTTGATGACTAAAAATAATGGTGAGAAGCTAATTTAGCCGGTAATGAAATTGGAGGCTATAAATGCAGAGTTTTGACTGGGACATAGGCTTTGCAAAGTTCAAAAGAAGCTACCCCCCATGTTCTGCGGTTTAGATTGGCTGGTAAATGGAGGATAAAAACAGCGAAACACGAGGATATGGACCCGCCATTTGTCACCCAAGCACACTCACTGACTCAGACAACTGTACTGGGCTCTCTCTCTCTCAATTACCAACCGTCTTCTTTTTTGATCTAATTCTAGGTCCAGACTCCAGGGTAGAAAATGACCCAACTATCACATGTCTTTGCCCCCAACATCGCTCTTCTTCTTTGTAAAGAAGAATGGACAACACAATATTAAGGCACTTGTTACACTTGAAGATGAAAATAAAATCGCCCAAATGTTGTTGCTTTGTTGATAGGATCCCCTCATAATAATTATGGTTCTCATGATGCAGAGTGAATAGAAAAGGATCCTTCATGTTCATGAAATGCCAATCAGACACAAAAACATGTTCCACAGTCCACACTGAGACTAGGAAAAGCTTGAGTTCGACTACACTTAGGTGCCAAATGGCATAAAGCTACATATTGTACCATATGCCTCTCTACCTACACTTGCCCTACATGTACATATAATTTGTACCCTACATCATCTCATCTATTCCATAACATCAAACCCATTAATCTTGCTTACACTAATATGCAAACGTCTCCCTTCAAATTCAAATTTGATGAGAATGGCCCCCATTACAGCTCACCTTGGAACTCAGAGCACCAAAGGACTTTACAAGGATGTACCTGAACCATATGTATGTGCACATGTACTGTATTACATATAGGGGGAAATTTTATATGTCAAGTTCAAATTAGTCTATAGGGTACATAACTGACCCACCATATATATATATATATATATAGCAGGGACACCATTCTACTTAGAGGGTCCAAGCCAGGTTGGATAATTTGTTGCATGGTCACCATTATAGCCCAACTACAACACTGTGGAGGCATAAATGGAGCAATAAAATATAGGAACCAATGAGTTTTGACATAACTTGCTAGCAGAAGTAGATTGGATAGCAAACAAGCAACTACCCATATAAGTTTACATCGAACTTGAGATCTCTTTTAACTAGAATAACTAGTTGGTAGTTGGTTTAAACTTTTAAGGAGAAACTCTCAAGTGAAGCAAGAAAAAAATAAAATAAAAAGGAGATTTCAAACCCCTAACTAGTGCTCACCAACATTGTATGAAATAACATATGAGTTTCTGTTGACTTCACCATGGTCAACGCACTCAATAATCGTAACGAATAATAATGTGCGATTTGAAAACCACATGTGTATGTATATATATACACACAGACACAGGATCATAAATGAACTGTTGGAATAATTATTTGCAAATTAAGACAAGTAAATTAGTTTAACGTGCCAAATAATAAGTTTCATGGCTGGTAGTACTGGAGGCCATTATTAAGCTCTAAAATCCTTGTTCCGTTCGAACAGACCTGGGCTTAATAGCATAACAATGGAATTCCATCGCAGGCAAGCCAAGTATTTTAAATATGACATCGAATGTGACCGGCCCAGCCCAAATTATATCAGCTACATTGAGGTTAAAAAAGCAGCACAAAATAAGAATGCATAAATTGGAGAAAAATAAGTACTTAACCATTATATAAATAGGATATAACCTCATAAACAAAAAAATTGGGTGACAAAGGGAAAAAGAAAATCGATATTTTACAGGCATTCGTTAGCAAACACGATGCGGCTACTGGTTTAAGAATAAAGATGCTCAAGGTTACCCTTGTGCTGGTTGCCGGCTGGGTCGGTTATAATCTGGCTAGCGGCTACGTTCTTCTCCTGCTAGACTGGAATTAACTTAGCTGACTGAAACTCTAGTATTAATTTTATCATTGATTTGATATCTAAGTAGAAAAAACGGCTTGTTGCTGTGATGCCTCTTCTGTCTGCAAGCTCTCATAATAGTTGACGAGAACCTTCCATCCCCCGGGGCACATAAAACCATCAGGAGGGTTTTCTCCGCTCTTTGCAAAAGCTCTCATCTGAAACAACAAGTGTTTACCAAATTCACGTTGAAGATATGAAGTACATGATTTTCCTAATTAATATGGCATTTACCATGAAGCCTTAGCCACAGATACACTATTGACAGCAAACAAAAGAAGTTATGTTCCTACCTTGGTTCCAGAGATGAAGAGGAAATCTTTAGCACGCGAAGGATCAAAAAATGCCATCTTTTTCTCCACATTGTCATAAGCTGCCACCTGCCATATATAATTCAAAAGAAGAGTAGTTGGCAGGCACGCACAAAGGAGCAAATTATCATCTGTCAGCAACCACTACTAAGTCACTGATGAAGCTACTACAATCTCAAGAGCCAAGTGAAATAAACAATTGTGTTGCAGGATATACTACCAAGTAAGAATTCATCAAATTTGAACTAGTATAACTCTGATGTAACAAATCCGTCAGTCAAGACTAAATGCAGCGTGTAATTTCACCTACCCTGAAAGGCAAAATATTGAGCTTCTCAAGCCCAGGAGCCATGCTTAACACCTTTTTCCCATGGTCAGGGTCATATAAATCCCTCTTCTCTGTTGGGTGTCCCATACCGGCGGGATCACGGCCCACAATGTAGAAGTTTGCGCCTGCATTTATCCGTGCTTTGGCATGCCACTGTACCTCAGTTGGGCCTGCATA